CACAACACGCTGACCACCACACATCCTCTCAACAAATGTCTTTGTATGGAGGATGCAGTCAGGGAAATGCAGCCCAGTGTGTCACTTTTCCTCTCGCCTCCTGTTTAGGATGAAAAGATGATCAGGTCTGTAAAATGTGATCCACTGCATGACGACTTGTAAAGCAGTAAAATGGAGACACTGAAAGTCATTCGCGCCTCTTTTCATGCCGTTCCACAGTAAAGTCCTGCCCACAAACATAAAATGTTTCAGGTTGGGATCTGAAAGATCTCAAAACCATCTGCAGGAAAGCTGGCTCCCTCAGCAGCCACAGCACATGGAAGTGCTGGGGAGTGCAAGCAGCACAGCTGAGCATCCTTACGGCAGGTGTTGAATTGCACAGGTCTTTCAAATGCGTGCAGCAGGCCATGCATTAAAACGCACCTGATAAACTTCCAAAAGTATCACAGCCTCCAGCCCAGAAGTTCCCACCTGTGCTTCACTGACATGAGTTCTGATAGTGCTGCAAATGCATCGGCCACTCCTCTGAAGTCAGAGGGAGACTTGTTCCTCAGACACAGCACCCAGACTGTCACATGAAGAGCATCGGTGCTTTGCTAGAGCAGGGCCAGTGCCCCTCATCATGCCATTCTGGGGCACACAGCCCCCCGGGGAGCACAAAGCTGTGTGGAGGCTCATGGCACCCTACAGCTCCTCACATGGAGCGAAGGGCAGCGCTGAGCTCTGCTCTCTGTGGCAGCAACAGGGCTGGATGGAATGGCATGGAGCTGTGTCAGGGGAGGGGCAGGTGGGAGTAAGGGAGAAGTTCTGCATCAGAGGGCAGTGGGCATGGAACGGGCTGTACAGGGCAGTGGGTATGGCTCTGAGCTGCTGGAGATGAATGAGCATTTAGGCAATGCTCTCAGACACAGGGTTTGGGTTTGGGGAGGTTCTGTGTGGAGCTGGGGTCTTTTGGGTCCCTTCCAACTCGGGATATCCTGTGATCCCACATGCTGACATGAGGGCATGTGTCCAAAGGAAAGACAGTTGTGAGGTTCCTGAAGTAGGTCTCATCCATACCAACAAATATCAGCAAAGCTCATTTCAGGTCACCAGCTAAAGTCTATTCATGTACATCAGGAAAAAGCAGAATGTGGGATGAGCAACAGTTGCCACATGGGCAGTTTGCAGCACCTTGTCCCTCCATCCCCTTGTCCCTACACAGGGTACAGGCTTTAGGATTGTGGGCAGAGCATGATCCTCGATGCTGAGACTTTTCTGCCACTATATTTGGGGCTGCAGTGCTTATTTCTATTTTATCAGTCAATAGGACTCCTGTCTACTGGATCCAGCCATAAAAGGTAAGGAATCCCCCACAGGCACGGGTAGCACCACTAAATACTGGTCCCCATAGTGGTAAATTGGGTTTAAGAGTTCGGAGCAGAACAGAGAGAGAAGAGCCTCTTTCCTGAACCAAGGAAGAATATAAAGCCCCACTTTCTCCCCTATGTGACTTTTGTCATTATCATCTTTTCTGATTCTTACAAAGCAAACCTAATTAGGAAACTCTCTCATTAGTCTTCTAGAAAAATTAGCACAGCTTATGCTAATTACTTCTGTAAAATTTAATAAACTCGTTGAAATGGGAATAGTCTAATGAGGTTTTATTTATTGAACTAAGATAACTGTAAGGAAAAAGGTTAGGACACTGGGATATCCAGAGTGGTAATAAAACTACAATTTATTCAATTTCTTCACAGAAATTTTATTGCAAACCTTTTAAATTCAAATACAAGTTACTATTTGAATGCTAAATCAATCTAGAATTTAATTTAATAACAGGAAGTGCTCTGTGTTTTCTTCAAGTATGATTACAATACAGCCCTGCTACTGTACTTGTAGAAGGAATTGTGCATTTGTACTGTGACAATAATATCCCTTTTAAAATGAGTTCCTGTTCATCAGAGCTTCATCTGAACACATGTAACCGGATTAGTGATAAAATATACAGGCTATGCTAAGATGATTCAGAAATACACAGGTTTCCAAGAAACTTCCTTGAAATGACTGCTCTATAAGCAGAAGAGATTTTGTTCTCCAGAGAAAACTGAGATCCCTCTACAAGTACGAATTTCTTTCGGTCCCTTTCACTGCTATATCCGCTGATACTATAATAGGGCAAACTATAAAGCAGTTCTACAAAGGATAAAGTCATATCCTGTTTCAAACGCAACAACGGATTATTATTTTTTAAATCCTGCATTTTGATTAAATAAAAATGTGCGATTTACTTTTCATATACATCTAGGATTTGAAAAAGAGCACAACACATGTAACTTTGAAGTTGACAAAGAGCCTCTTTGCCAAGTTAGCTAAACCACCACAAAGACCGAGCCCTCTCTATCCCGAGTTTCTCCGGCCTCATCAAAGAGAATTAATCAATCCAAAACAGTATTCCAGCATGGAAGAAGAGGATAGCATTTCCATTTAAGTACATATGTCAAAAATCCCATAGATGGATTCTACATTAAATTCTATGTTAGGTCAGAGTCTGAGGATTGGTAGGATTTGATGCGAGAGTTAGATTAAATCCATAGGCAAGGCTTTATCAGACTGTAAGGCATGTGGGAGTGCTTTAGCCCAAATGGCAAATGAGTTCTGTAAGCTCACAGGCAAATAGAAATAGCTAAATATGGCTTAGCGTATCAATTGACATAATAGTTTAAAATTGTGTGCATGCAGAAGTGACAATGGAGTACAACTAAACACATGTGCTGACTCGTGCAGGCGCTTTAGCGCTTAACGGACTCGTTTTAAGGTAAAAAGGCCCCACATAGCTCGTTTCATCCTTTCCAAACCAAAAGGGGGAAAAAATGAATAGGATAAATGTCACAAGAAGCATCGCTAAAGCCACTGACTGTATAAAGCACGTACTTATTTGGCCTAAATTGTTTGAACTAGCCCCGGCCAAGAAAAGGTTTTAAGTACCCTACTGGGACAGATGCAAAGCGGCGACAATAGAAGCCACACTAATGCAATCCAGGTAACACAATCCTGTTTCAAAAACACAGGGAGGGCTAATTACAGTACTGCTGAGTCAAATTTCTTATACCATTGCAACCCACAGGAACAGGTCAAAATCAAATGTTATTCAAACCACAGTCATATCAACCTTCTGTATCAAAGTCACAATTTAAAACCAAGTGAAGAACTTAAAAGCTTAACCCATTCACAAGCCAAATGTGTTGTAGTGCGGGGGGGAGGAAGGCAAGGTTTGGATGATGAGCTGTGAACTGTATTCAACTTGTGTTTTAAATATAGTCTTCAGAATTGGTATCTTTTGCATAAATGTATGTAAATAGTGATAAATTGATCACCGTCACAAAGTTAAATCTATGTTTTCATGTAACAGTTTCCCTCATTTTCTAAGAAGCACGTAGCAGACAGCATCTCTGGCTTTCATAATTCAAAGTGATTTGCAACTAGCAGTTTTGCATACTAGATAGTTAAACAAAATATTTCCGTAAACCTGCCATTAGCATCTTAACATCTCACTTTCCAGTACAATGAAAAATTCATGTGAATTTTGTAGCTTTCATGTCACTCGAAATGCCGCCCTAACACCATGTTTATAGTGTTCAACTCGGCAGCATGCTTATAAAACACATCTCTATACAGATTTCACTGGGTTTTTTTCCCCCCCTTTCCCAGCCCTACTTAATGCTCACAGAAGATGGAAATACGCCTAGTTAAAATAGGTAGATATATCTTCTGAGGCTTAAACATTCTCAGGATTACTGATTACAGCTAATCAAAACACCCGCCATAAGCTTCCAATATATGCACTTTCTTAAGAAATTCAAGCAAGAACTATAAATCTCACAGTCTGCAGAGGCACAGTGCCTGGCCAGGCTCTGCTATCCCCATCCCTCCCGCATGGCTCCGCACACAAAACGCCGTCACCTTTTCTTTTATAACAAACACCCAGACTGGCACAGAAGGTACTTTGAAGCTAATACAGCAAACATGAGCTCAGACAATAATGCTAGGAGAAGCACACCACTCTACACTCGCTCCCATATGCACAGACAGCTTCCCTTCAGGGTCCCTGCACGCACAGATTAGTGCAGTGGTATTGCTTTCCCCAGCTGATGACAGACAGATTCAGTACTTCATGGCCATTTAACTCTCATAGAGTAATGCTGCATAATAACCTGGTTATTACACGTGGCTTTGTACAATGAATTTTGATGATTAAAATGTAAAAATGACTGTTTGGTACCATTTTGCATAATTTGCAAGCACAGAAACTATCCATGGCTCAGAGCAACTAAAATAGATGCATTGCACAACAGTGATTTAGTTGGTGATGTCAGATTGGCAATATGGATCTGTTTAAAAGCACAATAATTAAGACAGGCAAAAATGAATTAATCAACTGACAATACAGTCAAAATAGTATTCCAACCAAAGAAAATAACAGGGGAAAAAACCCTTAGTTTGCAGATCTATTTTTTTTAACTGTTTTTATGCATAAATAAAATCCTTAAAATGTAGATGGATTGCATCCAACAGAACTACTGTAGCTAAAAGTGATAATGATTCAAACATTTTTCAAATAAAAGTTAAATATTTATAAGCACCCAACCACATTTCATAAATCACAAACTATTATTATTTTATTCCTGAAGCTTCCCTGGCACAGCATGCGAATTGAGCCACAGAAAGTCAGAAAGAAAAATCTCCTCTTTATGCACATGAATCAGTCTGCAAGCACGGGAGCCCTCCAACGAGCAGGTCGCTCCGTTAGCCTCCATATGGCCCTGCCACGGCGATCGCAGTTGCAAAGCACAACTAATTTGGTATCAAAAACAAAATTTCATCCGCATCTACTCCTAATTCTTCCCCATTAGCAAGACAGGGCAGGTGTTGCGTTATAATGAGGAAGGGAAAGAAAAGAAAAAAAAAAAAAAGGAAAAAAAACCAGAAAGAAAATCGAAGGAAACAATAGCAGTCCTTACCTGTCAATTATCACTGGATCTGATGGAGTCTCATTTCTGTTGCCACAGCTTTTCTTGTCACAACAGCGGCTGCAGAGCAAAAGTGAAAGGATTTAGTGCGACCATTACACTGTAAAATCATCATTACGAACACGGCGGGTTCAAATTGCCGGCTAGAGTTACCGCGCCGTCCCTGCCTGCAAATCAGTCAAATACAGTGGGTCACATATGGGTTAATTACTATGTTTAACTTCTTGCACAGCTGGTTAGCAATGGAAAATACAAAAAGAGAGGGGTTTTGCCCCCTTTGCAAATAATAATTCAAGGATCATACGACACAGAGAGACCTGCCTATTTGTGGTCTCTTTTCCAAAGGATTTAGTAGTTCTCCCATTTATGTGTGCGCACAGAACCAGTTTTTTCTTCCCTGAACACAGCTTTTAACGTTTGCTTGGTGCTTCCATTACGTGGCCGCACATTACTCCTGCTTTTACAGAGCTGAAGCCTCCTCCCGACATCCAGAAGTGTAATGATTCTCCTTCTAAGAAATATAATTGTTAAGAGTGGAGCTAAAATGCAAACACCACTGGCTTTTTATAGGGGAGCATGCCCGTTTCCCATTTTTCTGAGCACACGGATGACTGCTTGTGCTGGTGGAGCACCATGGGTCGGGTACAAAGCTGAAGCATGTTGCACCAGCTCCATCTGCCAAAGCCCTGCTCCATCACTGGCGGCAGGCTCGGGTTTTAAGCTAAGGGAGCTTGTTGTTTGCACAGAGATGCTGAGTTGTTGTTTGGGATGAGCCCTTGTCTGAAAGGGGTACGGCACTTGGAGCTTGGCTCATGCAGGAACCCACTGGGTGAAGCCCAGGAAACTCCCATGGGGCCACAGAGGGCAGGGAACCACAGCATGGGGACCCCCACGGGGATGGCCCCAATTAACAGGGCATGGGGTCACTCTCCTGGCTCTCCCAGGCCAGATCCAGGCACACCTTGCCGTTATCAAACATCTTGTTGAACCTCAGCCACAGCTTTGCAGAGCACCATGCTCACTCCAAGCAGTATCCAGGGACCTGACTGCTCACCCTCCCGTGCCAATGGACTATTTTCCTTTCCCTGGAAGGTGGAAGAACACGGGAACAGTAAGAAGCCCTCAGAAGTGCCATGCTATATAAATAGCCCTGTTGGGAGCATGACAAAGGTTCTCTTGTGCTGCTGAACAATAGAGTGAATAATATACAGTTACCCACCAAGATTAGCAATAAAGCAACTAACCACACTAAAGATAACAAAAAAAAAAAAGGGGGGGGGGGGGAACGGGGACCTTTTACAAAAACAGCCTGTTTAAACATGGTCTCAAAAAAAATAATAAATTTTTGTTTTCAAAGAGAGGAAAATACATAATTCTTTTCACCGCAGAAGGCTTCAAGGCAACTATTCAGGACTGAAACTTCTCTCAGTTCACACATGTGCGGTATCTTCATTTCGGTGGAAGTTACATTGTTTAGGACTGCCAAAAAAAACTGCTTAATTTTACAGCACAATACCACAATTGATCCACGAAAATAAATGCAAGAGCCTTGGCACCCAGAAAGCATTAAAATTTAGGAAGGAATAAAATATGCTGTAGGTAAATAGTCATGTGGACGTTCGGGGGGCTTTTTTGCCTATAAAAGGACTTCTCATTGGAGTGCAGCGAGAATGTGTGGGGTGAGAAAATTTACCCACAAACAAGGCAATAAAAACTGCTAATCATTTTTAAATGATTAAAATGTAATTAGAAACAGAGTTGGCACAAGTTAAGACAATGCAGTTCTTGTGACTGAAGTGAATCAGGGCTAGTCCTGACATTCTCCCAGCAGACTGCAGGGACAAAAATTGCCACACTCACTCAGGCGAGCAAAGGTTCCCAGGCTCCCCACTGCACTGGGCGGCCCCCAGCATCCCCAGCACCTTCCTGCTTCAGGAATACTCCAGCCCCAAGCAGGAGAGGTGCACGCCGACTGCCAGGGACAGTATGGATAGCACGGCCACAGGGCTGCTCATGGGGTGGCCCTCTTGCATGGCTCAGGTGTCCTGAGATGATGCCCCCATAGACCTGAGCCATAGCAAGAAATCAAACTTTTGTTTGCCCTTTTCTTTTTCTTGTTGTTATTCTTCTTTTTTTTTCTCCCTCACAAGCAGAATTGGAGGCCTCATCCACCCTCATTTTTCTACACAGACAATCATGGCATCACACCAACCCTGAGTTTTAGATCGCTCCTCATGGTAAAAGAAGCATTCAAACTTACTTCGAAAGCTTTGACTTTTAGCATCTACTGAACACATGGAAAAAAAAAAAAAAGAAAAAAGAAAAAAGTGCCTAAACATTCAGCGCCTTTCCCTGAAGGAATTCAAGAAGTCCCAGGAGTTTCTCTGAGTCACTGAGAAGCCCTCAGTTCCCTGCGTGCAGGGATTGATGCCAAGTGCCAGCTCCTGGCTGGCCCTGTGGGGTGTCCCCCCCAGGCAGGACAGGGAGCCAGCGCTCAGGCACAGTGTCTTTAGGAATCAGATTATGTCTGATCTAAAGCAGTTTGAGACAGGGAAAACTAAAAACAAGGGGGGAAAAAATCTGCAAAAAATGATTTGGCTCGGGGTTTGCTTGGTTTGTTTTTAAAGCAAATAGCCCTCAATAGCAACGCAGGCCCTTGCCATGCTGCACCGACATGGGTTTTCCCCATTCCTGCCTCCACCTTCCTCACACCATCCCCATCGTGCCTCTTTGCAGACCTCCATCCCCTGGCCACCACTGCTCCCTGCTTTTGTCACTGCCTTCGTCCTCACCCTTCTCCCTGCTGGAGCATCTCTGTCCCCATCACGGACACATCCATGGCCCCACCACACCATTCCTGCACCCCAAAACCCTCCCTCTCCCTAACCCAGCGCAGCAGGCCAGGAGCATCACAGGCCAGAGGAGCCCTGCTTTGTGTATCCACGCACTCAGGCTTTCTGCAGGGACAATGAACAATGAGAAATTACGGGGCGATGGCACAAGGCCAGCACAAACACGACTTTCTGATCACTTACTGCCAGGCTCTAACAAGTCGTTAGTGAGCCCGCATGGGACAGACTGCAGCAGCTCCTGGTGAGGTGGGCTGCAGCTCCCACCCCAGCCAGGCAGAAAGGTGCAAGGGCTCCTCGACAAAACAGCTGTAAGACTTTATGTCGCGAAGACAAAAACCATATTTTACTCCAACCTCATTCTCAGAAATCGCTGAACCATTTGAGCTGAAACTTTCCAAAGAAAGTCAGCCTCGGGCTGACACCCTGCAAAGGACATTTCAGCCAGAACAGTTTAAATCTGGCAAAGCTGTAAGCCACTGAAGGTTTCATAATGGAAATTGTTGAGGCAATATTAACTATAGATGTCCCTCCCCACGCTGCCTACAATGCCAATAAATTCCACCGAGGCTCTGAATTCCCCCCAGCTATTAACATTTTCGCCAACAGCATGGATTTTACATTTTATATTTGACAAAACACAATGAACCTCTTCAAAATAAACAAACAGCCACCTGAAGCCAACCTCAGAGCTGCATCCCTACCGCAGCCAGAACTCTCCCGTACATTTGAATTCTTTGTCTTCTCCTTGCCGTAGTTGGAGCATCCTATAAATACCCAGCTTTGTCACATAAATGCAAAGTTTTATTGTGCAGTTAGCCTTGATAGAAAGCACTGCTGAAAGTTGTTTAGAAATTAAACATCTAAAACAAGCTATTTTAAAATACAGAGCCCTCACTATTTCATGTCTGAAATGAAGAAATTTCATCTTAGGGAGAGCAAGCTGTCTTTCACACCATATGGCTAATGGTAGTGCATAGCAATTAGCTGGACTGATTAATGGGGAACAGACTCTAATTTTATGCTTATAATTGAGGCTGCATTTGCACCCCTGGTGCAAATTCAGCACATCCCAACTTCCACTTACAACAGGCAAGAAATCAAGAGAAACAGAATGGTGCGGAGAGAGATTTTTTTCCCCCCTTTCTAGACCCCTAAAGAGCATCAGATTTGCAATTTAAAAGAGTGTTAGCAGCACAATAGATGACAGATTTGTGCAATAGGGTCAAGCGGCCTGGTAAACAAACAGCACCCTCTTACAAACCTATGGGCAGAAGAGGAAATGGGAAATATCTAATATGAGCGGTAAGATATTTGAATGCATCTCCCCCACCCAGCAGTCACACCGTGCCTACACCACAGTCGGATTTTTTTGCTGCCCCTACACCTTATGTTTAGGAACACAAAACCAGGGCTGGCAGCAAACAAATCTGAGGAGAGGAACAGAGCTCCTGATCAAGCAAATTTTAAGAACGAAAAAAAAACAGACAGTGCTTCAATAAAGGGAAAAGCTGATTCAAATGACACAGCACAGCTTTACACATCCCCAGAATGGAAGTAATTTTACCTCGGTTAAACAATATTGACAAAGCTGCACATCTTTAACACAGATCTGGTTAAAACTCAGCCCTCTATCTGAAGTTTTCAAGGTACTTATTAATCTTCATGTTTCTGAAGTATTTATAAGAAAATTAATGGATTAGAGAGGGAATTTTTAGGGTTGCACAAGGGCTCGATGAATGACCCAGAGCTGGCTGAGGGCACTGCATGGCATGGGTCTGGAACAAAGGCTGGCTGCAGAGAGTGATGCTGCAGGCTGAGAGTGTGTGCTCAGCCCCTCCTGAGGTCTGGATGCTAACCTAGATACCAGATTATTTCCACCTCCAAACCTGGCAGTCTAGGAACCAACAGGGCACACTAGGTGAAGCTACCAGCACATTCAGGCTCTGACACTGCAGGCACTTCAGCATGTGCTTAATTTTACTCACTGTTCCACTGGGCTGCTTCCACAAGAAAAGCAAAGCATGCACTTAGTCTTATCGGGTCAGGGGCCTCCTTTAATATTTCCACGAATTGTTCCTAGCTAGGTATCTAGTGCAAAAGTGGTGCTAATTGGGCCAATGAGTTTTAGTGCAATTACAGGTTGTCAGTGTGGCTGAGCTTGCGCTGGGAAACGTAGGACTGGTCAGGAGTCCTCAGCAAAGCCATGCCACAGCTCCCAGCAGCAGCAGCTTGGGACCTCTCAAGGAGCTGAGGCTGGAATGGGTTATCTCTGGTTTCCCAAAGCCAAACCTGCTGAACAAAGTAGCCTAGAAAAATAGGATACGGCAATTAAAGTGCCCCAAATCCTGGCAAGCTGTGTGGGGTTCCACCCGGAGAGCAATGCAAGAAGAGTGGCATCACAGGGCTCTGCCCTCGAGCTGGGTTTTATCAGACAGAAGCCTTAGGAAGCACAAAACACACAGATTCCAAAGAATAAAGGGAAAAAACATCAACCAGCAGAGAAGTTTCCATCTGAATACTTTGTCTAAGACTCTCCCCCACCAGGAAACCCTCATCCAAGTTTATTCTCTTAGAAGTGGGTACCAGCTTTTCCCCTCAAGTTACTCCTTTTTAGTAAATGTGTTTTGTAAAAGTTACAATGCATGCAATGGCATTTTTACAGTCTTAAAACAACTGATTGTAACAATGAGCTTATGCAAGAATGCCTCGTCTTCCACCAGGGAATTATTTTCTGCCATCGAATAACATGTAACAAATGAGTTTTTCAGACATGCAAAAACACCCACTAACTTTAATGAGACTGCAAGGTCAGCCTCTCCTGGGTGCCTGAGGGCTATGGGAGAAGATGCTGTGAGGGAGCAGAGCAGGCTTCACCTAACACTGCCAGCAGAAGGGGGAAGAAAGTAGCTGAAGAAGAATTCATCTCTCTCTCCCAGATTTAAGTGCCAGCCCCAGGCAGGCACCTCTGGGGGAGCAGAGCGTGGGGAGGGTCAGATCTGTGTGGTTGGAGAACACCAACAAATAGGAGCCATGGGGTGGCAGAACATGGCCTGCTAGGCCCAGGCAGGTGGGAGAAGCCCTGTCCGCCTGTTAGGCCAGCAACACCAGAACAACCATTTTGTCATGCTGCCGGGAGAGCAAACTTCGTCATTCGCTTGGGAATTGGGGGCAGAGAAAACTACAATTCTATAATTAACTATTAATTTTGGTGAGCCCATTTTTGTAGGCTACGGGGTCTAAATGCAACCCAGTAGCGCGGTTAAGGAAAATTCTTTATCAACTGAAAACTGCTGCGGTGACAGAGACCTTGCTGCTAATTACACACACCAGACTGTGTTATTTTGGGATTGTTTAATGCAAGAAAGATAAATTTAAGTCCTAAAATAGCCACAGGTTCAACCTAGATTTTGAGTGACAGATTCATCTTCTCATCACTAATTAGGGGGAAGCAGGGTATCTCTTACCTGCACATTATTTCATGCGTGAGCAGAACTCGGCACATTTCGGGGTTCTTGTCTTGGCCTTCATATACTATCGCCTAGAAAGAAAACACATTTTTAGCCATGCGTCACGTTGAGTTGGGAGAAAAGAAAAAACAGCCTTGTGGCTGCCGAGTGCACAAGGCCAACAGCGGCCAAACCTGCCCGAGGTCTGTGTTTGGGAACAACTGAGCTGGGAACTGCTAAATTCCCTCCTCTCTGCTGCACATCCCTCAAGCTGTGTGTAGGATGGGTTTTTTTAGTAGTCAAGACAACCACAATTTTCTTTTCAATTCAGAATAAAATATAAACCTAATAGCATTAAAAGAAAGGAAGGAAAAAAAAAAAAAGAAACAACAGCAAGGCTTGGCATACTTGGGGCTCTATTCATTAAAAAAAAAAAAAAAAAAAGAAAGAAAGAAAGAAAGAAAGAGAGAGAGAGAGAAAGAAAGACAGAGCAAGAGCTCATGCATTTTTAATTCCGAAAGCTGCACACTGCGCAACCCGGGCATTTTGCTGGTAGCTCCTAGAAGCACTCAGGCCTGATCCTGCGTCTTGCGATGGCGAGCAGCTCCAGAGTTACAAGGATATAAATAAGCGAGAGGCAGGCCCTGTGAGAGGGCACCAAAACAAACAGGGATGGACAACCAGCCTGAAAAACTGTCTCTGAGGCAGCACGGGGAGAATCCTTCAAGTTAAAGCTGTGGAAGGACAGCGTAACGCACCCAGCGAGAAGGGTTGATTTCTGCAGCCCTCCCAGCAGCAGGACACAGAGCAATGGTGAGGGATCGGCCTTACACACATCGCGGGTTACTGCTCACACTAGAGAGCTCCCATAGGATTGAGCAGAGTTTTTGCTTTCTGCCCACCCACACAGCCCTGGTTTCTCTCTGCTTGCTGGCTCACCCCACAAAATGCGGACAGCTGGGCACCTACCCTGGGCTGCCCCCAGCAGCAAAGCAAGACAGAAAAGAAACTGCCTTCACAACAGCAATAGCACAGAGCATAGAGGTTCCTAACTCTTCCCGGCTGCCAGCCTGGAGCTGGGATCTGCGGCAGAGCCTCTGGGGGGATAAGGCTGCAAGCAGCAGCAGCAGCTCTGCCCCGCACTGCGGTGGGACCCCAACACCCTCCCAGATACAGGCGCAGGAGGAGAAAACTGGGAAACAAACCCTGCAGATAAAATTACATCTGATATGGGGGTCTATAAAGCTAGCAGTAAATTAGTAACTAAAAAGATATTTTTCTAATTGTATTAAGTGGAGGAAATACATTTTATAGAGTGGGACGATATTAACATGGAAGCGTGGAAAATACTAACGAGAAAAAATAAAGTATATTGACATATGATGAAGTGAGACCACGTGTTGCTTCTGCAGTCCTTGCAAATACAATCTGCTAAAGGTAAGAGCTGCTGCACTTACAGTGGAGGCATGGCTCTTGGGACATGCAAATCTGCAGAAGCATGAGCTGATTTTAATAGTAAGACACAATATGAATTTCATGCATTATAAAACTATTTAGTAATTTCACAAATAACATCAGGAACACCTCTGTTACATTTGCTAGTTATAATTGTTTCACTTCAGTTTAACTACAAATATTCCCCAAAACTGAGAGCTTCCCTGCACTGTGTCCCAGCAGAAAGAGACACGCTGTGAACCCAGCACTGCCACAAAGGGGACACAGCAATGAGCGTCGGGGACACACCGAACCCTCGCAGCACCGCCACCAGCATGGACCAGGCTGGGTCATATCGGGAGGTGCTGTCCCATCCATACCTGAAAGCTACTGCTGGGAAGGTGCCTGCACCAACAGACATCAGGACATGTGACTATTTCAGAAATTCCTCATTTCTGAGCATTAAATTGTAAGAGGGGTTGAAGCTTCTAGCCCAAACTGGGGAACCAAAGGACCACAGCTGATGGGGTCACAGCAGGGACATCACAAAGACTCCAGAAAACCCAGCATCCAAATCCACTCAACCAAGACAGGGGAAGCTCAGCACCCTTGTTGGACCTGATCAAAAAAATAATCAAAGAATAATCTGCTTTGGATTCCCATTCACCGTGGCACAGCACAACACGGCATCCAAGAGAGGACTGCAGAACTCGACTCATGCTTCTTAGGTTTTCAAACCCTAAAGCAAAATTACCCAGTCTATGTTGCCACTGAAGTGGAGGGAGCATTAGGAATGACCGAGCAGAACACAAATCCTACTTTCTTTTTCCCCCTCCTCTCTCCTTTCCTCTTCTCTTCCTGCTGCTATGCTTACTTAACCTCCAGGTACCCGCTTAAATAACTCAACTAAATAGCAATAATGAACGGGCAGAGTCAACACTGTGGTACATAATCACCTTGTCTGTTGTGTTTAACATCAGTGATCCTTTCTTTGCGTGCATGACATTCTTCTGCCTTCGTCTGCGTTAAGGATTTGCTTTTCACTTTGTTTGCATTTGACTACTAATATTGCACCCATGCACACTGTGGTTTCTCACCATAAGTGCGGGTCCTTCTGCATATCCTATTCCTCCAGGAATTTCTAGGAAATTTGAGGAAGCAAAAGGAACAGCCGAGCTCCTTTCTCACCGCCGACTCCTATTCCTATTTCCCGATTTACTCGCAAACGAGCGCGCAAAGCACCGACTGTCCACCTCCATGAACAGCCGCCGGCGAGCATTATAGATCCTCTACCATCTTTCAGACGGCACTGATCTAAAACACCAATTCTACAATTAGTTGCAAAAAGGAAACAGGAACTGTTGAAGTTTCACATCTTTATAGCGACCAGAAGTATATTTACAGGAAGGGTCTGCAATGCTACCGTTGTGAAAATATTTAAGATTGGAAAAGATACTCTTGTCACAAAACTATCCAAACGTTTCTAGTAATTAAAGTTGGGGCTTCGCCACAGCAAGACAGCGTTAGGAGCCCACATCACCCAAACACCACCACAACTTTGTCAAATAGGGATCACATTAATGAGAGATAAAGTGAAAGTTAGAGCGGATAAACTTAGACCACAGCAGGGCTAAAAATAAGCCTGCAAATACACGTCGGAGTTGCACAACAAAACATCAGCGAAGGAAATGAAAATTATAGACGTTGTTTTTCTTTTTTATTTACTCCTGTATCTTTGACTTCAGTGCAGCTCATCTTTCAAAACAGGTCCTCTCCTCCCGAAGATCTTAAATATTTCCCCTCAAAACTCAGCTTACGTTTGTAAACTGTTTCTCAATGAAGTGCCCTTTCTGTCCGAAGTCCCAATGAGTAACGACTGCCCGAGCACAAACCCATCTCAAAATCAGGCCCTGAAAAACTGATGTCAAACTACGAAACTCCCTTTCTTCTATGTACATAAAGCTGCATAAAAAGTTAAATCAAACACAATTCACCACTTGCCAGCACATACAAATGAGTGCGCTGAGCACATCCCGTTCATTCCTAGCCTACAAGTGCATCCAGCAATGCGGAAAACTTTTCAGTGAGAGTTCATTAAAAAAAAAAAAAGATAAAGTAAAAGGGAGGGGAACGATATAAAACCCAAGGCTACCGTTCTGATCGAGGCCGCTTTTTCATGAGTAAAAGATGGCAGAACAAAGCAGTAAAAGAGTTGATGGAAAAGGTGGAAAAAGATGCACGCAGATTTTGTCCTCGGCTCTTCCTGACTAAATCCAGACTGACGCTGGTACGGCTGAGGGCTGAACAGCCGTGCAGCGCCAGGCGGGCAGTGCTGCTCTGAGCGGGGTGAGAAAGTCCTGAAGGACTGAGATCATGGCCATGATACTCCTCGGTGGTGCCACAGCCCTGATTTTTAAGAGCCAGAGAATGAGAGAAATCAGCAGCGTGCGTCTGAACCCACTCGCTTTCAAATCCCCCCTCTGTTTCTCAGTGCAAACTCTATCTTTTATTGAAATAAAGGAGAAAGCTCATTAGAACGAGGCTCTTTTCAAAAAAAACAGAACCCAAACGATCCGCAGTGACGTATGCACACATACACGCACAGAGAAAATAAAATCCTGGTCCCACCGAATTCAATAGGAGTTCTGCAATTGACTTCAGATGGGGCAGCACAGATTAGCTCCTACCCGCTATATGGCCACGCGGAAAGCGCTGTAAATTCAGCGCATTGCATCTATTTGGCTCCCAGTGCTTAACCCCTCATTACCCGAGCGCTCCCTGCTCACCCAGGCAGGATTTCTGCTCACCCGCCACGGACAGCAGCGCAGCGCTGGGTCCCCAGGAGAGGACATTCAGCCCTCGCTGTGTCTCAGCGCGCAATTCAGTGGCATCTCATTATTTTCTCCCCCCGCCTTTGATACGCAGCCCGCTTATTGACGTATTCGCACAAATTAAATAAATTTATCTCTCCTAATATGTTCATTTTTAATGGTTTTCAAACATTCACATGGAAACAGCTCTAGCGTAAATATCCCAGAACAAATGGCTGTATATTATACAGGAGGGAGCAGTTGGGCTGCCAGACTGGGAATGCACCAGGCCATCTGGCTCAGGCAGTCTCTCCAAAATCCTCAGCTTTGTTTTCACCCTCAGACTCCAAACAACACATTTTCCACTGTGATGAGTTTACATTTTCCCAAACACAGGTCCTGATCATGCATGCAAATTCCAAACTTCTCCGCTCCTCGTCGTACGAGAAAATTAAAATCACCTGCACTTCTGACATCTCACCAAAGGAACAAGAAAGCTGCTAAAATCTGGCGCAGTGTAAACTTTCCCCATCACAGGGGTTAGGCTTTGTTTTATGTTTGTGTGAAATTTCTCCGAGTCTGCGGAGGCTCCTCCGAACTTATTGATAACATTTTTTTTCCCATGCACATCGCTGCCAGCAAAGGGCTGTGCCGTGTGCTGCGTGCAGAGCACAGCTCCTCAACCCCCTGCACACAGCAGAGAGCATCACAGGCATCGACACAGAACCCGCTCGTATCCAGAGTTACAGCTCTGAGAAAAGGCGAAGCGCAACCAGAGCTCAAGTCAGAAGGGTTTTCCACCCAAAAACAGACAGCAGCTATCTTGCAAAACTTACGCTTTCTGAGATGCCTGAGCTGTAGTACCCTCCAATATATCTTATGAATGAGGACGGCTGAAGGAAAAATGCTTGGGTAAGAAGTATTCCAGATTTATTTCCTCCATCCTTCCTCACTGTGAAATATCTCAACTTTATGAAAACGTGGCTGACAAAGCCTCTCCTCTCTAAATACATTAAAATCCCCAGACTTGCCTAAAAACTCCAGCTTTATTTCAGCAGACATATTTCACATTTTGCAGGCAATTTCAAAACACAGCATCGTAGTGCCAGACCGACTGCACCGGGAGCTGCTGCCCTACGCAAAGCGACAGCCATAAAGTTTGGGATCCTATGGGGCTTTGAACGTATTAGGAATGTGATCCTGACATAAAATGAGGTGCCAAGATAACATGAAAGAAAATGTAATTAAGACAGCATTGACACTGAAAAGAACTTCCCCACAACGCTAACGATTTGTGCGCAGCGTTTGCAATTCTAACATGACGGGGATGCAGCGAGACCCCTCACCATCCCACTCTGCGCTCCTCCAGAGCCACCACCAAAGGCCACTCACAGCACAGTGTTCAGCACATTCTGAGCTTCCCGTTCCAAAGTCCCCTGAGGACCACCACAAGAGCTCGTGCTTGGAGGGAGCGCGCACAGCTGAGATCTGCACCCTGCGTCTGCCCTGCGTGCTGTGTGTGCTTCCTTTGGCCGCACCACCAGCACCCAGCACTGCCCCACAGCACATCGCCGCCCACAGACACGGAACACAGAACACACAGACAGCCCCTGTCAGCCCACAGCACAGATCCTGGGCTAGGCCCTCAGCTGGACCGTACAAACAGCAACAAAGCCTCACTAGCCCTGATTAAGAACTCTGTGGAAGCAGGAATACCTACAATTACACACAGCAAGCAGTGCAGCCCTGCCTGGCTTTGTGGTGTATGCTGCTAATGGGACATTTAGGTTAAATCTAGGAGTAGCGACCCGATGCAGAGCAATCAAGGTCTGATTTGCAAAACAGATTTTATTTTATCTTACTTAATAACCCACAGCTGTGTAAAACCTCACAATTCATAATCGTGAGACAAAGACGACAGACCTAAATCTGCTTTGGCCATATCTTAAAACATATCTATTTAATATCAAGATCCTTCCCCACACGACCTGGGGAACTGAACTCATTCAAGCTTTGCTTCTGCGGGATTTTTAATTTGCCACCAGAAACCTCAGAGTCGCTGTAATTTCGGTCTGGGAATTCACAATTATTGAGTGTGTGAACGCGTGCGTGTGAGCAGGGGAGGCTCCGTGCCAGCGGAAACGTGGATGCTCCTGCAACAGTTTCATTTAAAAGTAATCATTTCATTATCCAATTTGTTCTGAGCGTCATGCATTAAAATACTACACCTTCAAGTAGGCTGACAATATATATTTAACTTTCATTAAAAATTAAAGAATTTTCAGACAGTCTTTGCAATATTTAATTACAGTTTGATGATTTGAAAGTTACTTGAGAATGTTCTATATAATTCACTGTCGTAAAATATAAATGATACACTCAACATTTGGGTGAGCTCTGTCATGTGTTGTACTTCACTGCCTAATAAGCGTTCAGCAACTGAAGCAATCACAACTCTGACATGATTTCACTTCGGAAGGAAGGAAGAAAGGAAGGAAGGAAAAGGAAAGGAAAGGAAGAAAGGGGGAAAAAAAGGAAAAAAGAAGAAAAAAGAAAAAGAAAGAAAAAGAAAGAAAAAAGAAAAAAAGAAGTGGGGGGGATTTCAGACCCTGTCCCTGAAAACATGCAGATGAGCCCTGCCACAGCTTTGACGTGCAATGCCTTATTTCTCATAAGCAATTACAATCACACCTAGAGAACTTAATGAAACTAATACCCAAGCAAACGTGGTTGTTTAAACCATCCCTTCTCTCTCTGCTTTCTTATCCAAGTTCAGAGCTTTTGTTCTCAAACCTTCACTTCCCAACTCCATTGCGTTTTCCCCCACAATCTGCCATTTCTCCTAACTTTGTTTCTGTACGGCTTCCTGAAATCAGAAAGATATTTTTTTTCCATGTGAACGTGCTTTAAAGCTACATGGTACGTTTTACAAATAAACTGTATCTCGGGGTTTCTTTTCCCCTTTCTTTCCAAGACCCTCTGATGACTCGATAATAATGAGAGACCAAGAGGTCAAACAGCGCCTTAGGATGAACTCTTCATATGCAAGATGCCTTTGTTAAGAAAATTATTTTGAATCCATTGCTCTACATGAGTTCAGGGATCTGTTTTCAACAGGATTATGAACAGAGGCTTTCACATTTCCGTACCGATAGCAGAGCTATTTAAAGATAATATTTATTGATGGGCGCTCTCCTGCGCTCTGCACTGAAGCACCAAGTTCTGAAAGGACTAAAAAGAGTTCGCCTATCTGAAAGATTTGGTTACTTATGACACAAACTAACCCATTTGTGCCTGAAAATCAAGGAACGGCAGCAAACGCTTCCCAAGGTTTGTTATGAATAAGGGTATGTTGCTGTTGTTTTAATTCCTACAGGGCTCTGTTTGGAAGCGTATGGTTTAACAGAGTTCAGATGCACAGGGGATTGTCGAGTAGAATTCTTCTCAGTTCTCTTTTTTTTTTTTTCCTCTCTATTGAAAGGCAGTCTTCAATAGCAGGAAAAGATGTTTTGGGACCATCAAAGAGAGTTTTCTAAAACAAACTCAGCCCTTGGAGCTTTATGTTTTGCTGTAGAAAAAGAAACCCAGGCAGAAGCCAAGAGGTTTTTTTTTTCCCCTAAAGACAACTGGGTTTGAGCATGCAGGGACTGACTTTTCCTATCGGTGCAGGAAAAAAAAAAAAAAAAAAAAAAAAAAAAAAAAAAAAAAAAAAAAAAA